AAGGTACAGGCAGATCCTGCCTGCCTGCCTGCATAGCAAACAGTAGCAGTTAAGAATTGGGGTTTTCGCAGGTTTGGGCACCAAGGCATCTAGGCATTCTCTCCTACGTTGTTTTTTTTTTGTGCTGAAAAGCCCTCATCATTACCACATTTAGCATGTAACAGCGAAATGCTTCCCTACTGTAGGAAATTAAGGACAGTATAATTGGTCTTTTAATCTCTTTGGGATTTTAGAAATGAATGCTGTAGTTTCCCAGTATTTCTGTAGGGCTGTGTTTGCTTATCCATTTTACATTCTACAAGACTTTTCCATATGGTTACAGCTTAGGATGCATTACAGAGGCCTTTCATCTTCCTCTGGAGCACAGGATGAAACAGGGGTCGTTGATGGAATGAAGCAGCAAGACTTGTGATCCTGTGCTCCGCTGCATCTGATACGGCCAATCCCACACTGCCAGGAAAGCCATCATCCCTTTTGGAACTAAATTACTTGATGGGGCTGCTTTAAAATTGGAGCTACACCTATTTGATACTTTTCTGGATGAAAGAAGATTTGTCACTCTTCTTACTGCAGAGTGCCAACAAGGTTTAAAATCAATATCAGCCACATTAAAGTGGGAAGAAAATGAAAGAAACAATTCTTCCACAGAGCCAGTCCTGCTTTCCTGCCTATTCTGTAGCCGCAGAGATGTCTGCCAATTCTGGCATGAGAAGGCATTAAAAAATTTTTAAATACCAAGAATTCTTCTTTATCTTTAAACGTAGACCAATGGGAACGCAGTGTAATTGGACAAAAGAGTGGAGTCGATCAAGCAGTTAATGTGGTTCTTCCTGCTTAACAAAACATACAAAATAGCCCGAGTGTGTTTGGAAAAGACTGGTATGAGGCAGTGGGTGCTGCCTCCTTCCTGCTGAGCGCTGGAATTCCCGGATAAGCCTGGGGCTGGGAGTGAGCACAGGCCCATATTCTGATTTGCCCAAATTCTGCCCAGATCATCGTCAGCTTCCAGTAGTCCAGGAGAGCTGACCTGAGATGCCGGTGTCTCGCTTGGTCCAAGCGCTTGAGTACCTGTTGTATCCACTGAGTCTAAGCACAATGAACTGTGGTAAATCAGGATCTTGGCACTCAGAACGTGGGCATCTGAAATGAGCAGAGGCTCTCTCAGGAGATGTTTCTCCCAGCTATAAAAAGAGGGAATAGCTGCGTTACGAGAGGGATGGTTAAATCATGGTTTTGGGTTTGGTTTTGTTTTGTTTGTTGGTTTTTTTTTTTTCCCAAAATGCTCTGAAGCTTTGAAGAGGAAGCCATTATTGGAGTACAAATTACTCTTTATTTTTTATTTTATTTATTGCCTCATTTTCAAGTAATGAAATTCTGAACATACCTCCTTGCGAGCTGCTGAGAAAAAAGGAAATGCAAGAGGATTCTTAATGGTGCTAATAAAGTCAGGCAAACACTTTGCCAAAGAATATTTTTATTACAAAAATACCATTTTATTAATACAAATGGTCTTGATAGGATCACGCTTGTTGCAAAACAGTTTTGTTTATAAAAATATACAGACCAAATTATCTGGTACAAAATGTTCCATTTTCATCCGGTTGGAATAAGTGATGGGATTTTTGAATGGAATGTATTCACCTAAAGCATGGTTTTGTGTGGGTGGAAACTTCAGTCAGTGGGGAAAATGCAAATGGAGTGGTGGTCCACTTGGCACCACTGCCCTTCTCTGCTTGGGAAGAAGCTAGCAGTTTGCTGCAGTGCTCAGAGCAGCCTCCTTTGCTTCCTCTGCTCAGTATGACCCGTTCTTAATGCCTTTCTTGGCTAGCAGGCAGCATGATTTGAACCACAGGTTATTTCCTTTGGACTGAAGTGGAATAAATGGGACCTGCAAGCAGTGCATGATGATTGTGGCTGTGAGTGAGTGGGGATGTTCAGTCATTCACCTAGCCGTGGTGTGTGGGCAAAAATCCGTCCCCTTTACTCTACCTGAAAAACATAGCTGTTCGTTTTCATGGGACTGTGGGAGGGGTGGAGGCATGGGTTGATCCTTGGGTGGCAGTTCAAGAAGCTGGAAAGTATCCCATCATCCCCAGAGGAGCGAGTACTTGATGGAAAGTAGCACCCAGAGCATAGGGTTAGCTGCAGTCTGTATGGACAGGAGCACAGACACACTGCCAGGTATCTGCACACCCATGTCTATGCTGTCCTGAACAGGCTGTTTGTGTGCCACAGGCTCCAGCATACCTTAGTTTTGGTTTCCCTTGCACAGTGTACGTGGCCTACCCACTGGTGTCCAGGGCCTGGCATGCGCTGTCTGCAGGAGATCTGCCTGCTGGGACAGTGAGAGGGAGGGCTGTGCTGCTGTGGTGACGTTTAATGAGCCACACACGGACACAGCCCGAGGGCTATGTGTGCAGCTGAGCACTCGCACGTCCCGCAGTGCATGAGGGGCCGGTGGCACCCTGTGCTCACAGCGCTTGGAGCTGTGTCTGCTTCATCTGAGCTGCTTGTTTGCTTTTCCTGGAACTGAACCCCTGAAGGATGTAGCACGAAACTTATAAACCCCAGCAAGGCCTCTTTGCCTTGTGATACTTGTTTTCATTTTACTGTGGGCTGCCATGAAAATAATTTGTGATTAAAATTGAAAGCTCCCTTGCAGCTGCCAGGGCGGGGGGTGTTGAGGCGATCCCTCTAGGGGGGCCTAACCCCCAGCCCTCGGCGCAGCTCATTTTTCCAGCCGGATCCATGTGTGGGATCCATTCCCAGATCTCATCAGGGCAGACCGCCTCGCACCAGCCCAGGGGTGGCCAGGGAGTAGAATGCAGCCCTTGTGTGTTCCACCTCTGCGCTGCCACAAGCTACTGAAACTCTTTGTGAGGAAGGGGGAAGCTTGATGTAACCGAAGCTCACAGGTTTGCGGTGAAAAGTCAGGACAGCAGGTCTTTGTGCACGGTGGATTTATGGCATGTAAATAAGTTAGTGTGCTAATTGTGGCCGGTGTCAAAGGTAGCAGGCTGGCTGCTTTAAAAAAAAAAAAAAAAAAAAAGGCTCACAGGGTGATTTATTCGGGTTATTTCACATGCACTTGTGTGAAATACGTTTATAGATCCTCTGCCTCCCTTCCCCGTACTGTAATAGTCAGAACAATGAGCAGCATTAAGTGCAGGCTGCCCACGCTTCCTCCCAGGAGTGCCGAGCTGCAGCAACCAGAAATCATTAAACTGGGAGAGAGAAAATGACTTTTGGCTGCCTCTAGCCCTCATGACAGTGTTGCTCTGCAATCTCTGTGCTGAATGGAAACTGTTTCCTTTCCACAAGCTCTAAGCTTACAGACTGGGTTTCCTGCTTTCCTGTTAGTACCTCCACCTACCCAGACAGCTCTGACACTTCAGACTTAGTGATCAGCTATTTTCTACCGCAGCTCTTTTAGCAAAGGTTTTACACGTTGTTTTAACAGCTGACTAAGCAGTGAGCCTGCAAGCGAAATAAATGAATGTAGGGCTTTTTTTATTGGGCTAACTGACAAGGCTCTGTCTCAAAATGCCAAGGCATTTATCTCTGCAAGCAGCCTGCATGGCGGATGGGCTGGTGTTCAGCGCTGGGAGGCATGCTGTGCCAGGGCTCTAGTGGGGTGAAACAGCATGTGGATGCTTCAGATGCTTGAGGAGACCTGTGCCTACGGGTACTTCCATGCACCCAAAAAAAGGCATGCATGAAACATCTGCATTGTGAAGCAACAATCAGAATATATGCTGAATATAAATCTCAGCTTTGAAAACAGTTAATGCATAAAAAAGCAAATCATATGTAGGAGAAATTTTACTGAGAGGGACTCTCTGGACCACAAATGCAACACTATGAAGTGATTTTCATATCAGAGAGCCTCCATCATCTCTGGATGTCCCAGAATGGCGCTTTCTGAGGCACTGCAGTCGAGCTGGAAGCAGCCAGCCAGCTCTGAACTGGCTTTACATATATATTTATGTCTCCCTGTACTGAGTTCCCTCCAGTCGGGATAGTGCAGTCATTCAGAGCACATTTCCATGGTGCTTTCAGCTTTCATACTCACTTTTGCAAGTTACTTCCAATATATCTCGAACAATGAACTAAGCCTGTCTTCAGTTAGTGACGGATGGTGCTTGAAATATTCGAAGTACTCAAGAAAGTTCTTCTATCTTTGGCCTGATCCTCAGCCAATCTATGTCTAGCCTTGTTTAAGCCTTTGTTTTATTCAGATATTCGCGCCAAAAGCATCTGTAGGCTTCCATTTTAACATTTGCTGATCTACTGGCCTTTACCACAAACAGATCTTCGATCATACCAGGGCTGGTGGGTGGGGAAAAGACTGGACGATTGTGCAGGTTTAAGAAACTGGGAAGATAGGTGTCACTGGCTGGCAGTGGCACGTTTCTATGTCTGTGCCTGCCTCCGTGGGCCTACTAGTGCTGAAGAACTCAGCAGCTGCAGTGTCCTTTGGGACTGGGACGAGGTGGCACTGCTGTTCCTTGGGAGGAAGCTCAGTGTGAGTTAAGTGCCTATGGAAAGTGTTGGGAAGGCAACTGTGCAAAACTGAAACCATTCTCTTTTGTACTAGGGATCAGGCTTGTGGCCAGGTGGAAGGTTTGTCTCCAGAGCGTGTGGAACTGAGAAGGATGCTCAGTGTCAGAGTTTCTGCTGAATGGGCCAATAAGCCCACCTCAGGTGTGGTGAGAATGTCTTTCATGGGCTGCCTGGGAAGCACTACTGAATGTAATGCAGCACTGACCCTCCTGTGAATCGATTTCTCAGAATGCCATGCCACGCAGATGAGAAGCCTTTGTCAGACAGTTTGGGTCAAGCCTGTCACCTGATCCCTGACCTACAGCTTGTGGGAGCGGAGTGCAGTGGATGAAGTCATCAGAAAAGTGCAAAGGTCATGGGTCCTTGTGGGGAGAGGTGGTTGTGCAAGGAGAACAGTGTATTCAAAATAAATCATTAAATCAAAGATGCCAGCCCTGGGCAGATGTGTCTCTGTGCTGTGTCTGGTGCCGGTGGCTGCAAGAGCTCTCACACCATGGGTTTGAAGTGTGTGGTCACCACTCAGCATCAGAGAAGAGTTAGTGTGCAGTGCTGTGTGCCTTGCTCCCCTAACCTGAAGGACAAAAGCCTACAGTGAGAAGGATTTTTCAAAGAAGTGCAGCAGGCAAGCAGAAAAAAGAAGGGAATTGTGGTGTTGCAGCTATTAATTGCATGTAAGCGAGGGTAGTTTTCTGCTTTTCCCTTCTGTATCTCCATGTTGATCCCAAGATTTGCGAGATTTTGGATAGGCTGGAAATTCTTATCTTTGTGGTTTGGACAAGAGAAGGAACAGGACTGCTCTGGCTAAGAAACTTGGGATATGAATAACATATTTGTGGGCTCCCCGGCAGGGCACACTGACTGTTGCGTGTACCAGAACAATGTTGGTTGCTTTTTCTGGCATTGCATTTCAGCTCTGTGCCCTAATATGATTGTGAGATGGGGGCAACATTTTGGAAAATAAGAATACAGAGATATGCAGACATCATTACTATGAGGATTTGCTTGAAGAGCTGGAAAATTAAATGAGGAGAGTATAATGAGAGTTAAAAGGGTGATTTAGGAGTGTAGGGGCAGCAAGATGCCAAGGCTCTGGGTAAACAAATGGAGCAGTAATTTGGAGTAAATTGCAGCGTAGCAGTTCTGTATCACACATGCACTATGGGATTTTAAAAGTCATGCGAGTTTAGCCCCTATAATACTCAAGGCTAAACATGCTGCTTCTGCGGTAGCATTGCACATTGCTCACAGACTGTAGTACATTTGTGGCTTTTTAAAGCTGGGACAGTTTCAGATCTTCCGCAGGTTAATCTGTTTATGGCTCCTGGATCCTTGTGTGGGAACGGCAGTAATGAAGTGAGGAGCTGAGAAGAGTATGGAGAGTGAAAATCCAGAGATGGGAGAGAAGAAGTGGGAGGTGGGAGGTGTCTGTGAGCCTCCGAGGTGGTGTGAGGCAGTTCAGGGCAATGATGAGAAGCAAAAAGGCTCTGGTAAAGTGATGTGGTCAGTTTGCTCTGAGGCTAGGCAGTGGACCTTCTCTCCCAAGGTCTTCTTTGATACCAGGGGAAGCTGCCAGTTTGGGGCGCATGACCCTATTTGGATGCATGGCCATCAGCAACTGGGGTTCATTACATCCCAGCCCATGCCAGACAGCCCAGCTTCCCTCTGGGGGAGGGGTCTTCTGTGCTTAACTTAAAGTTTCTCTTGTCATTTGGAGAGCACTGTGGGAGCAAAGGAATTGTGGTGTGTTGAGCTGACGCTGTTTCTTGCTATTAATATCAGTGACATTGTAATTTTCATTGCTGTAAAGGTACTCAGAGCACAGGGCCAGGGCAGACCTGCTTGGAATTACAGGCTTTTTTTTTTTTTTTTTTTTTTTTTTTTCCTAATACTAGAATGAACAAATGGGCTTTCCAGCAACCAACCTTTGCTTTTGTTGCCATGGTCTATCCTCCTTGCAGGAAAGCACTCGCTTCAGAAAGACTCTGCAGCCCTGCGGATTGGGAAGGGCTGTTCACTGAAAAGACAAAAAAAAGTAAAAAGCAGCTGCTGAAAGTAAGAGCTAGACTAATGTGGAGATGAAAGCATTTATGCAGAGCAGAGGTGGAGAATTTTGGATCTGTGGAGTGGGCGGAAGTGTCCTAATGAATGAACAGTATGATGCTTGGCTGTCTCGAATAACAAAAAGGGAAGGAGGGTGCTAGGTTTTGATAGTACAGGCTCTGGAAAAAATGAGAAGCTGAGAAGAGAAGGAAATCATGGCTAATTTAAAACTGCCTTGGAGAAGCAGGTGGGAGGAGGACCTTGAACATTTGCTGTACTACAATTTGAAGGTAAGGAAATGGAAAAACAAGAGTTAGAAGGCAGAAGAAGGGAGGGCTCTTCTCCCTCTCTCTCCATAGTGAACAATGCCAATTCTTGTGGAGAATATTAGGGATATTATGAGAAAATGCAGAGCTCCTGGAGTGAACTGTCCTAAGGGATGGGCTGAGGATAGAGGATGAAGCCAGTGGCTCTGAGAAATACAATGATGACACAGTGAGTCAGAGACACTTGCACCAAAATATTTACACTTTGCCTGTATTCTCAAAGCTCTCCTCAAGAAATGAAGGTAACCCTTCTTTGTCAGGTTTCAGTTGTACTATCAGGAGGTGGGTTAGGGGGGTAGATAGCAGCCAAAGGAGCTTTATCAGCTCTTCCTGATGTTAATTGTTTTGGACCAAGCTCCTGTTGACTTGGTTGGGTGTGCTCCGGTTGACTGACCAGGGAGCTGGGATGCCTCTCCCCAGTGAGCCTGTATTTCCTTGAGCTGTATGCTTAGCACGGCAGAGGTGACAGCTCCATTATACAAGTTGCATGTGAGAGTGGCATTGTGCCCTTCTTGAAAAGTTGCCTGGGCTCATATCTCACGTTTTATACAAAGCGAGTGAGAGTCATCCAGAAAAAATAGGTAAAGCAGCCAATACAATCAGTTTCAATATATTATCCTTTTCTCAAAAAACCTGAACATCTCTCCAAAATAATCAGAACGGGTAAATAACATCTACTCTGTGCAGAGGAAGTATGGTATGATGAGACTGCAGGCAAGTTCCAAGGAAAACACTTGGAATGGTTTGGCCAGTAACAATGAACTAAACTGAAAAAAACTGGATGGTAAAGTTTCTATAGGCTACACTGGTGGGGAGGGGGGGGGCACAGGACCTGCTGGAGGTGTGTGGTTGGCCACAGAATGTGGTGGTGGCCTGGGGGAGGGCAGGCACAATGCTGTTTGTGCTGGGCTCACTGCCTTAGTCCCTTCCAGACAGCATGTCCCAACCACCAAGTCCAGCTCAGGGCATGCAAGTGGAGCAGTGTGACCACGGAGCAGATTCATGGTGATCTATCAGTCAAGTCCAAGTCATTGAAAAGAGGGGAATTTTGATTTTGTGAATATAAATGCATCTGTTATTTTTCTCTTTGCTGTCTGCTATGCCAACTACTATCTGCTACCATGAGACACATACTCAGTTCATGATCTCAATACCAGCACTGAATGAAGATATAGCACTATATATGTAAAGACTTTCAAGCTTGGTGTAAAAGGGAAGAAGTTCTGTAAGGTTCTGTGTTCTGCCTCTACCTTTCCCAAACAGCATCAGTATCTCTGTTCCTAACCAGGCTTTCCCACTTAGCCATCCCATTCTCAAGGGCATATAGATCTTCAGACATCTCCGGATGTCTGCCCAATAATAGCATTTGCACTTCATAGCCTGGCAGAGGCTGGCCTGGCCCAAGGCAGGATGGCAGGAAGGCAAGCAGCTGGCTGGTACAGGTTGATAGAGGGAGAGTGCTGCTCGTGGAGGGCTGTTACATCCCCTGCTGCAATGCTGAAGCTCTGCAGCAGTCACACAGAGAGATGTCACAAGATGTTGGTTGAAAAGAGGATGGTATTTGGCCTGTATACTTTATATTGACTGTGCACACCTGGTAGCGACAGGGGAGGGCTTCTACTGTGGCAGACATTTTTTATGTGAATAGAGTTCTAATGAAGCTCTTTAAGCTTACATTCATCTTCTCATGCTTTTCACAGAGCAGGAGGTGAAAAACATAGATCTGATTAACATTGCTGGATTTGTTCTGAAAATGACATCTTTGCAATGTGTTCTTGTCCTCACAGGAGGAGACATTTTAGCTCCTGTGTTTTTTCTCTAGCTCTGCACATGAAACACATCTTTCCAAGTAGTCTGTCTGCAGAGGTGTTTGCAACTCATCCCCAAGTGCCCACTCCCACCCCCAGCCTCTGGTACTGCTGCTCTTGCCTATGGCTGTGCGTGAGGCAGCCCTGCTCTCCCTAGCTGGCCCCATACAGGGTTCAGTGCTGTCTTAGGATATATGGTGGGGAAGGCGGCACTTGAGATGAGACATCTTTCCTCCAAGTTTTCTTCCTTTCACTTGTAGAGAGCCGGTTGAGGACACAGGGCCGAGAAACAGTGGCACTGTGCCAGGGCAAGTGTCCCAGACTTGTTGTAGGGGGTGAGATCCTGATGGAGGAGGGAGCAGGGTGGGAGGAACAGCCAAAACATCAAATGCTGTTGGCCTTATTTTGGTCGATATCCCACTGAAGTCAATGGGATATCACTCCAGGAAAAACTGGATAAGGATCTCTGGATTTGGCAGCAGAGGAGGATCTGTCTTCTAGCTGTTTACTCCCCTGTCCAAGCCTGCTGTTGGTGACTTCATGATCGTTTCCAGAGCCTGCAGTCATGATGTCATACCCGGGGGACTCTGGATTCAGGTGGGAAATTAGCAGCAGGAGCAGATGAATTCTTTAATAAACAAAGTTCCTGTTTTCATGCAAATGTCTCCAGAAATAAAGAATGAGAGGAGTGAGAAATACAGAAATTTATGGTATAGAAGCTACGCTGTTTGGAAACAGATTTTTTATGAGTTTTCCAAGAGGCGCCAGCTGCTCTTTAATGTTTTCATTTAAGAGTTTTATGTATGAAAGCTCTAGCTTGTGTAAACAGAGAGGCTGAAAAAGTTGCGGGGATTGTTGTTAACGGCCGACCTCGCAGGCTGGGGATTTGGCTGAGACGAGACTGCAAGCGTTGGTACTTACACAGAGCATAGGTTTTAACATGTCTTGGTGACATCCCCCTTGCTCTTGTGATCACCCCCACGAGATCCCACATCTCTCCATCCTCCAGAGGCCCTGGAGAAAGTGGTGCTCCATCCTTCTGGGCTGAAGGGTCACGTTCTGCTGTGCAGATCCATCCTAGCACCTCCTGTGGGGGATCCCTCTCAGGAGCAGGCCTGGGGAGGGGTGGCCATGTTGCCCATCCCTCTGGCCTGTGGAGAAGCTCCCATCGGCCTTGGTGCACTGTGCTGTGGTGCTCCCTGCTTTTGCTGACATCCATCACCCACCCCTATTTGTTAATCTGTTTTAGGGTAAAGCTGTTTTAGGGAGTGCCTATTGTGTACCACGATTCCTGTAATTGCATTATTTGGCTGGAGAGAGCACTGGGGGCCCATGGTGTGCGATGTGCTGGTGGGCTCCCTTTGTTTGGCAATTAGCTCTCTATGGGTGAAATACATGGCACTGTATTAAAAAAAAATATAAAAATAAAAAGAGGTCACTTAAGCAAGAGCAGCATGCACAAAGCAGGCAGCTGTGCATAGAACATTTCTCAATATGGAGACCTGAGCAGTGATCCCTGGCGCTGCTGCTCACCATTTTGCTCTCATGTTTTTATGCAGCATCTTTCTGTTTGCTCATCTACAGGAATACTCTGCCTCTAGCCTTCTGTTTTTGAAAAGGTGACTGCTGATGACAGCTAAGATAACAAGAGGGTGGTATTTTTTTTTCTTCATGAGCACGCCTCCAGTTCTATTAATAAAATCCTGAATTTGACTAGTCCTTCTGAGAACTCCCGGCCTCTCTCACCCATTCAAAACTGTATTTTTAAGCTGTTGTAGGTGGATTGTCGACAATGGTTGTTATGCAAACTCTGAGCACTGGCTTCAGGAGCTTCTTGGAAACCAGCAATGAGTAATCTTCATGTTTCTGCCAGGTCTACAAAGAGGGATGGTGCAGTTTTGCCACAGGTAGGTTAACAAAATAAGTGTCAATTCATGACAAACCCACTGCCAAAAATACTCACATCAAACCTTGGAAACAATTAGAGGAGATGATGAGACCCTCACCATTAAACTGGTATTTGAAACTGCTGTTTTTTTCACTCGGGAAAAAATTTGTTCTCTGGTGTTGCTTGTAGGTCGGTGTTTTTTTTTTGGTCTTTTTTTTTTGTTGCTGGTTTTCATGTTGTTGTTTTTACCACTCACAGCCCGTGGCTGTATTTAAAAGGGTATGGTTTGTATCTTTAGCTTTTGTGTGAAGTGGGCATTAGTCCCATAAGAGTTTGATGCATATCACAGGGTTGTAAAGTGCGAGATGGCCATCAGTATGGGATAAACTGTGGTCAGTACTATTCCAGACTGTGGGGGCTTGTGAACTAGGGGTTAAGGTAACAGATTCCTGATACCACTGCTGTCCCTGCTATATCAGGGAGGCTCCAGAACACGGATCGAGTTTCTCCTCCAGTGCAGGTAAAGAGATACATGAAGGTGCATCTCTTGAGCCCCCTTCACTCTGAAAGCAGGAGGTCAGCAACACTTTTCTCCTCTGTACAGAGAGTTAAAATCATTTTGGTTTGAGAAATTACTTGTGAGAGCAGTGCAGCAAGGCTCTCAGGCAGCTGACAACTTGTGTGGCACTGCCAAGTGCCACGTGGGACGTGACAGGGTGACGCTGCATGCCTTCTGTTGCTTTCTCTTTAAAGCACTCTGTGTTGTTGTTGGGTGTCACGCCCAAGTACCCAGAACAAGCCACATCTTTGCATCATATTGGTATTCACAAGCTGGTAATACCCATCAGTCCACTAGCTGGAAAGCCCCATCTCTGTGCAGTGTTGCTTATTACTACACTGTAGCTCATAGTTCTTCAGAAGGCAATCCACCCTGTGAATCTGTTTTCTAATGCCACAAGTCCCTGTGCTCCTGCCAGTCTGCTAGTTCCATCGTCCCTGCCTCTAGTGAGTCAACAGCCATCTGTGCACACAGAAAATCAAATAACTTTTGGGTTAAGAGGGCTTTTTGTCATTTATAATGAATCCCTCTGCATCACCCTATGTGGTACCTAGTGACGTCCAAGATTAAATCAAGAGAAAAAAGTGCAATTTGAAGCCATCCATGGCAGCCTGGTATCACCTTTCTGTCTCAGCTGCACTTCAGCAGGCTAGCTGAAATGAAGCAGTTTTCTCTGTGCTTCATGCCAAACACTATTCTTACTGAAGCAGAGGGAAGTTTTGTTTTTCCCTAAATAGGAATGATTTGGCCTTTGGTGGTGCTCAACTGGAAAGAATCCAGCGCTCTTCTGATCTTGTCAGAATGGCTGAGATGATCATAAATCATAAGGGCTGCTCCAGAAATATTTTCCCTGGGCTTGATTCTCCATCCCACCATGCTGGTATAATGAAAAGAAAAAATGAGCCCACCACTGGTGTAATTTTACTGATAACCACTCTCTTTCCAGGCAATCTTTGTGATTAATTTTTCTCACAGTCTCTCTTTTTTTTTTTGGTTTGTCTCATAGGGCTGTTCAGATTTTTTCCTCCTCTCCCCTTCCATATGGGGAAGAATAAAGTGAAGAAACAACATTTTCAGAGAAGAAAGACTTGGAAAGAGTTTTTGTTTTCTGGGAGTCTGCTACAGCTGTTAATTTGTGGAAAACCTCAGTGGAAAGTCAGCAATATGGCAGCATCACTTTACACGAGAATCCAGTGATGGCCCTGCTCCAAGCCCTGGCTGTTTTAGGTTGTTGGCTTGCAGAGCCAAACCTTCATGTAGTGTCATGCTTTTTTATAGATAATGTTGATGCAGCTGTGGAAGGCTCTGATGTTCTTTTTTTTTTTTAACGTGGAATTGTCGTCATTCAATCAAGCTTAAGTATTGTGGAGCTGTGATGTTGTTTGTCTTTGGTTGTTAGATGTTGGCGGGTGAGTCCAAGACGACCTGAGATGTTGTTTGGGAAAAAGAAAAGACTCCCTCCCTTCCTCCCTGCCTTCTCCACAGAAATGCACACAGACCATAACTTCCATCCAAAAATGCAGGAATGCTGAGAAAAATTGGAGCTGGGCTTGAACATTGCGGGCTGGGCCCCCCCGCCTCTCCAAAGCACGCACGCTCTTCTCTTCCTGTAGACTTTGTTCCTCTCCAGCATTTGTCATGCATAGTTGGTGGCACATCAAGATTTTGAATACTGTACTGAATGCAACAACCTCTTTTTTTTTCTTGGATGGACATTTTGTTTGTGGAGAATACAGCATGGTGCTCAGCTGTCTGGGCAGAAATGAACATTGAATAAAATGAAATTTTCAGCTATGTGACAGCTAGTAGATCAGAGATTAGTTTTCCAGTAGAAATGTCCAATTATTTAAACCTCTCCAGCAGATGAAAGAGCTTTTGACAATCTGTTTTGCTGAAAAGCCCTGCAATTTGTTTGGCATAGATTAGATGGCCTATTAGAGATGAGAAAAAGGGAAAAAGATTTATAATTAATGTCAGCCCAGCCGTTAACTTGGGGAGTATTGCTGAATTGTAGCACAAGTCATATCGTCCGGCTATTTCTGCAGTGACGATTCATGTGTATATTGCAGTGTGTGTCAGCAGCTTTCTGTGCAGCTGTGTTTGGTTGCAGGGACTAGAGTTTCCCATTCCCAGGTAATGCATTAACATGCTCGGCTGCTTCTCCAAGGCCCTGCCTCCTTTTTGAAGGCAGGCCTTTATGAATGGGTAAGCCCCATGTTTTTCCAGCGCTACCTTGTCACACAATGACTGATCCACTCACCTCCTTATCTCTGGGCCATATGACTTCGAGTGTATCTTCCTTGCCAACTTGGCTAGGTATCATGTTTCTTTCCCTGAGGGTGACTTAGGGCAGAACCCTTGAATCCCTCAGAGTTTCCTGGAGCTCCTGGAAAGAAGAGGAAAACCAGAGATGGGCCAGAAAGAAGCAGGCAGAGAAAGATGAAAGAATTTGGGGGTGGGAAGTACTCGCTTTTGGAATGATCCTCCTCCTGGATGGCCTAAGGCAAAGTAATTTACACTTTTCGGCAACATGCAGAATTGCCCAGCCCTTACTCTTATGAGTAAACATTTCAAAGGTGCCTGCCGGGCCCTCTATTTATGTTTTTATAAGCTACTTAGTCTCCTTTGAGTCTCAGGCTGTATCCCCACTGCCAATAGTGGAGTTAGCTCGAAGTGCAGTAGTGTCTCTTGGTGACACCTGAGCTAGACTGAAGCAGCTGAGCTGCTTGAAGTAGTTTACTCCACAGCAGTCCATGTGTCAAAGCACTGTACCTGCCTGCTGCATTATCCTTCTTGTGCCAACTCTTGTTTCAATTAAAAGCTTTCACTGCAACCCTACCTTCTCTGCAGCCGCTCGCTGAGACTCGAGACATAGCACAGTCCCGGTAGGGTATGGGGTTCAGGAGCTGGACTCACTTTGGTGTTTTTGTAAACTTTTTATATGGCTGAACCCACAATCTGTGTTAGCACTGTTAAATGCTTTCCTGTTTTCCTCTTCCCCTTGAACTTATGCTGCTGTTCTAACCGAGAATCGTATTCTGTTTCTAATGACAGAGCAAAGGTGCCAAAATATTTCAGTAGCTCCCCTAGGAACATCTGCAACTTCTTTAGCTATTTTCACAGCTGGCCATAACTTTGTTATTTTTGAATGCTCGTAGCACCAAATCTGGGATCCTGGAGGAGAACAATGGCTAATTTCCTTGTATCGGAATTTGTAATTTGCAAGAAGATGCACTAGCAACTTTGAATAAATGCTGAGAGACAGAACTATGAGGGATTTTTCATCTGAAAGGCAAAGTTGCTAAACTCCAGAGTTTAGACTGGTGTTCTGACATATGGTGTCAGATAAGCTGGGGTTTGGTAAGGTCGAAACTTATAGAAATTTCAACTGATAGTGCAACTACTGCTGAGATTCATGCTGCCCATGTAGCAGAAGCTCCGTTGGATCACTGCCTCCAGTACGGTTGCTGTTATCTTTGATGGAAATAGGAAGAGTAAATTCTTACAGCTCTAATGTGAGACTGGGTTCTTGGGACTGGAATTAAGTCAGGGAGTTTAAACTTCTACCCAGTGAAATTCCTGTGGACCTTTAATTGCCGCTCTGATTTATTACCTGCTAGTTGTGCTTAGCTGGTCTGAAAGTGAAAACAAGCTCAAGGTATTTAATCGATATATTGATCTATCGCTCATAATTTGTGCTGCACCTCTTCACTCCCTATACTGGTCTATCAAAACATGTAAAAATATGCTGGAAAGGTTCCAGCTTATTTAACCACTAAGAAATGTATAAGAACCAAAAAAAGTCTGAGGCTTATCTCACCCACAGCAACTGCACCCTGACCCTCAATGAGTAATGGGCTGTGCACTGCTTCTCGAGGAGGCAGATCTGCAGTTGTGGTATGAGCATGGCTAAGAGTAGTGCTTGCAGGGTGAGAAACAGAGAATAGACTCCTAGAATCATTAAGATTGGAAAAGATCTCTAAGATCACCTAGTCAAACCATCAACCCATCCCCACCATAGTCAATAACCATGTCACTCACTGCCACATCTACATGTATGTGGAACACCTCCAGGGATGGTGATGCCATCCTCTGCCGGGGCAACCTGTGCTACTGCCTCACTGCTCTTTCTGAGAAGGAATGTTTCCTAACATGCAACCTGGATGTCCCCTGGAGCAACTTGAGGCCATTACCTATCATATCACTAGTTTCCCCTCCCCCCCCCCCCGGTTGACTGCATGCTTTCTCAGGAGGTCTCATCTCAGCGTTGGTGTCTTTTGCCAACAATATGGGCAGGCTGCAAGGAGCCACCATCTGTATCTGCTTCTGAAGAAGTCCTTGGTGGTCCACCTTTTGGGGAAGATAGAGCTGCTGAGTGAAGGATATGGGTAGTGGAGGACAGTGTTACATGCCTCTTCCTGAAGACGGAAGACACTGCTTCCTGAAGACACTGCTTCCCAAATGCTCTATCTGTGCATGGCCCCCTGCCAGCATGTTTGTGCACTGATTAGATCTGAATGTGAGGTTTCCCACAGTTCAGGGGAAACAGTGAGGTGGAGCAGAGCTCAGGGTTCCTGACGTGCACTGCTATCTCCAGCAGGCTGCTGCTGTGCCCACTGCTGGCAGAGCGCCCTGCATCCCTCTCACCCGCACTGCGCCCACAAGTCGTAATTCCTTCAGATTCAGAGACTTCTTACCATATACCTGTGAGTGGGAGGAAAATATGGCTCATCACTTTTTTCCATTCTCATGCCAATTTTGGTGCAATATAAGGGCCTGCCCTGTCAAACCCAGCGGGAGCATAGCCAGCAATTGCAACTCAAGCTAGCACATTGCTGAATGTGACAAAATCCAGCAGAAATCTTTAAAACTCCCCAGATTGCTTCCATTGCTGCAGTTAATTTTTTGTCCATGACTTTTCTACGAAACCAGATACAATTAAAACATGCAATTCAAGAAGCCTTAGTGCCTTGACCTAAGTGCTAAGGTATTGCATGAGCTGCCTGCCAGATACCACAGCCCCTGCCGATGAAGACAGGTAATTAGGTCACCACTTGTGAACTTTTGACACACGCAGACTTATGGCCTGATAACAAGCATGCCTTCAAGCTAGTCAGGGTAATACACATATCATCATGAATCTAAGGAGCACTGAACTAAACAGTCATTTAGAAGAAAATGGCTTCAACCCTTTGCATTTTAATCCTACCTGAAGGCACAGAGCTTGTCTAGGGGATGTCTTGCTAGAGCTGTCTGAGGGAGCTGAGAGCTGCTGTGCTGTTGCAGTACCATGCATGGTCACTCACTTGGGTCTGCATAGACATGACTGCAGAGTATGTTCTGACAACCTCCACACAGGCAAATTATGTGCTTTAGCACTTTAGCGCCCTGTCAGGAGGAGTGAATCTGTATGCCACGGACAGCTCTCAGAGGCAATGCAGGACTATGATAGAAGAGCATGGCTAAAAATCAAGCCTGGCACAACCACAGTTCCAGGCTTGTGCAAGAGCCTCTATGGGAAGTGGGGAGGTGTCTTAAATACGTCTTCTGTCATTCTTTGTAAATGGAAAATGCGGGAGCTGGTCACCTCACTTCCCTCTCTCCCTGCTTTATTTGAGTATTCTGCATATATTTTCCTTGTCCTGCATCTCAAGATGCTTTCCCATCGGCTCATGCTGTTATGTCACTCTCCAGTGGGTGATCTCAGTACGACCAGGAAACACTGAAGGAAAATGAGATGCAGATGTGGTAACTGCATTAATATTCCCCTTCAGTGCAGTTGCCGTTGGAGAGCCTGGACTGCTGCTTTGACTTTGTTCCTCCGCAGAGCGCGCTCACATTAAAACGTCAATCTTATCTGTGTTTCAGTTCAGCATGTCTGCCCCTGTGGAACAGATCGTTCAATGCACTTACATCCTTCCCAGCCGCCCTCCAAGGGGATGACTCAGTCCGTAATGCAGCACATCTGGTTGGGACTACAGAGGACACTGGAACCTAGCAGGGGCTTGGATCTGCCGCTCAGTTATGTCATGTCTGAGCATTGCTTGTTTGTGTATTTTCAGAAAACCCAGATAAAAGAATATGAAAAGAAAAGAGTAAAAAGGGTTTTGTCCATAAATTACCAGTGACCTCAAAGCTCCCATGCTGGAAAAAATTGCTATGTGATGCAATGCCAGTAAAATGGAAGCCACTGTAACTTCACAGAAAAAGCAGTGATATTTCTGATTAATTGCTGTGCTTTTTGAGGTTTCAGTAAAAATGGCTGCTGATTATTTCTGAAACTTATGATGACTGTCTTAGTGCATAACCCCTTCTTAACATCAATTTGGCAAACAGAAAAGGAAATATATCATACGATATTCCGCTTGTAAGGCCAAGTTCTGTCATTTATCTGCTTGCAAAGCCGCTGTTGACTGCCTTGGGATTTCTCCTTGCAGAATGATGGTAGGACACGATCCAGACCCAATATAAATGTAACATATGAACCAGTATATCTTCAGATGGAGAAAACGTGTGTGGAATTTCCCTGTGCTGTCATGTGTATGCTTTATAGGGCAACTACATCCACAGTTATTGAAAAGAAGCACAGATGTCTGTGGTTAGACATCAGTGACTTGTGGGAGGGAAAAGAGGGAAACTGGAAGACTTAGAATTTGTGCTTGATTGGTTTACTGAGAAATATGGGGCAAGAGAAAGGAAAACAGTTCAGAATAGAACTGTAAGGAAGGGAAATTGGTATTGCTGGCAACATTGATGAAATATCATGTCCTTGCCAGGAGAGTATAAATTATGGGTTTCCTGATAGAAAATGTTGATGAGGCTAGTAGGGGGTGAGTCCGAGGAAAATGCATGCATGTGGAAACTGATTTTTATTTTGGCGATGACTGAAAATAACCATGAAGCCTGGAGCTTGTAAACCTAGGAATTCTGAAATCAATAACTTTAAGAGTTAACAGTTGGAGAGTGACAGCCCCATGAGGACCATTTGCTTTTCAGATCTTGAGTATCCTTGCCTATTTTAAGTCCTCAGACTCACTGCTGGCCATATAACATCTTGTGAGGTGGTGGTTATCTGAGATAGCAGCCTTCATTTAAGCAGCAGTCATGGTGGCTGCAGGAAGTGCTGCTGGCAGTGGAATGTTTGGTTACTGGCTCTGCTTTGGATAGGTTTTGGGTTGCACACATCTCTGCAGTACCTAATTTATGCCTTCCTTAGGTGAGCTGTGTGCCACCTCTATTTGTCCTGTACTTTTTTTTCTAATGCTCTCTCTGCAAGAAGAAATGTATACAATATAGTACTGTGTTTCTGTAAAGTTTCCTGCTTAAATCTATAGCATGGGACACGTTGAAGCTCTGGAGGTTGCTTGTTGAAAGCCCTGCTCAGAGCAAGGCTAGCTTCACAGAGAGACTAGAATATTCAGAGCCTTGCACAGGCACATTCTGAATATCTCCAAGGATGGAGATTTCAAAGTTCCCCTGGGCTGTAGGCCTGCTCCATCAAGTAGGACGATCTTTCTTTATAAAATTCAGTGTTTGGTGCTGATCCAGATTTTAGGCCTTTACAACAGAGGATGCTATTTATTGCCTTTGGGGCAGGCTTGGGCTGCTTGAGTAGAAGCAGATGAAGGAAGGTTTTCTTGGCCTGACAGCAAACCTCAGTGTCAGCCCAAAGAAACTTGATCTAAAGAGGTTTCCACAAAGGCGAGCCTCAGGCTACCTGGCAGAGAGTAAGAGGCTCCTGTGGGGAATGGTTCAGAGCACCTCTGTGAAGCTGCTCATTTGAAATGCCCTCAAGAAGTACTGGTCTATCTTCACTGATAACAGAAGACTCATAGGAA